GATATGTCACATTTAAAAAATCCACTTACCAGTTGATGAACATTTATTTTTTTTTAAAGATTTTATTTATTTATTTGAGAGAGAGAGGACATGAGCATGGGGAAGGGCAGAGGGAGAAGCGGACTGCCCACTGAGGAGGGAGCCTGAGGCAGGGCTCGATCTCAAGACCCACAGATCATGACCTGAGCTGAAGGCAGATGCTTAACCAACTGAGCCACCCACATGCCCCAAACATGTAAACTGTTTTCAGTTTTTGGCCATTATGAATAAGGCTGCTATGAACATTCATTTATACATCTTTGTGTGGACATATGCTTTCATTTGTCTTGAATAGGTTCCTGAGAACTGACTTGCTTTATTATATAGTAAGTTTATGTTTACATTTTTAAGAAACTTATCAAATGTTTTAGAAAGTATCTGTGCCATTTTACGTTCCCACCAACAATATATGAGGGTTCTCATTCCTTCCCAATATTGCCAGTATTTGGTATTGTTTGTCTTTTTGATTATAGTGATGCTAGTAGATGTAAAGTGGCATGTCATTATGGTTTTAATTTGCATTTTCATATTGGCAAATGATGTTTAACATTTTTTCATGTGCTTAATCAACTCTTTGCATATCCTCTTTGGTGACATGACTCAAAGCCTTTTGCCCATTTTTAAATTGGGATGTTTGTCTTCTTATTACTGAGTTGTAAGTGTTCTTTACATATTCCGGGTATAAGTCCTTAATCAAACACATAATTTGCAAATATTTTTTTTTGGTCTGTGCCTTGCTTTTTTATTTTCAAGAATGAAGTGCAAATATTTGTAACTTCGATGAGGTGAAATATTCTAAATTTTGGTGAAGTCCAGTTTGTCAGTTTATCAGCTTAAAATTATTCATGGACTCCCCATAAACTCTAAGAGCATAGTCCAAAATCCATAGCATGACATAAAAAGTCATACAAAGACATACAAAGTCAAATCTGACTTCTGTGCATCACCGTGCAGCTTTAGGCCTTGACCTGATTTTGTCTCTTATTCCATGTCCTAATCAAAACATTATCTCCTGCACTCTCTTTTTTTAAAAAAAGATTTATTTATTTATTTTAGAGAGAGAGAAAGAGAGAGCACAAGTGAGGAGAAGGGCAGAGGGAGAGGGAGAGAGAGAATCTCCAGCAGACTCCCCACTGAGCACAGAGCCGTATGCAGACTCAGTCTCCTGACCCTGAGATCATGACCTGAGCAGAAATCAAGAGTTGGATGCTTAACCAACTGAGCCACCCAGGTGCCTCTCTCCTGTACTCTCTTAACTGACCATGACATTTCTGGTCCCTGCGACTTTGTTCAGTTTGCTCCATCCATTCAGAACAACACCCAGCCTTCCTTTCCCTCTCTGGCTAAGTTCTCTGTGTCTTACTCCTTTGCAACTAAGATCCTCTGGAAAACCTTGCCTACCCTCCCTTTGGCCCAGGCTAAGTCAGATGCTCTTCCTAAATGCCTATTTAAGTCTTAGCACATCTTATATTATTCTGTAATTTTTTATTATACTGTCTATTCTCCTTATCCAAGAATAAAGTTCTTTAGGTAAAGGGCTGTATTTTAGTTTTTCTTTGTATTTCTAGTGGCTAGCATAACTACAGTTTTATTATAAGTACTTAATAAATATTGATTCAATATATGTTGTGTTTCAAAAGTAATTAAGAGCCTGACTTATAAGAAAACCAATCTACTTAGTGGATTAGAGATAATCAGAGATAGGCGTTTTTCAAACCTACATGTTCAGAGGAATAAGGATTCCAGATTCAGCATCAAACCATTCACTAAGTTTATATTCTGGAAAGACATTGAACTATGTGCTTTCTAAGCATTTTCTCTAATACTCAAAACATCCTCATGTAAGAGAGGTAACTTGATGTCCCTGTTTTATAGGAAAGGAAACTCAGACTAAATGCTTTGACTGAGGTCACCTAGCCATTTGTAATGGGAGAGAGTACAGGTCATTTATAAACCTAGCATGATAAGAAATCATGGCTTCGAGGAACGCATTTAACAAATGTTCAATGAACTCACACTATGTGCCCGACAACATTCAAGGAGCTATGAATTTAGAAGGAAAAGAAGAGACAACTTTTTCTGCAGTTATGGAGTTTATATTCTAGGTGGTCATGGATACAATGGATGCTACTCTAACCAACATTTTAAAAGAGAACAATTTTGAGCATTAAACTCCCTTGAGATAGTAAAGATAGGAAAAGGTTAAAAAAAAAAATTGAGCCTTACAGACATGAGAAAGCTTGTTTTATCCTTCATTTTTTTCCCCTAAGTGTTAGTTGAGAAACAGGAACAGATTTTCATATACACAGGGCTTTGCCAGCAATATAGACATTATAACCTGGCCCTGGCCCTGGGCCCTGGATTAGCCAACTGTTTGGCCATGATATTTGTCAGAGAGAGCAAGCAATGCCCCTGTGTGACGTGGCATGTTTAGGAAAGAGTCCAAAGGGAAGGGGAAATTGGAAAAGGCAGGATGAGGTAGGAAAATCAAAAAGGCAGTAGGGAAGGGAGGGCAACAAGGACACAATGGCTGCCAAGACTATTACTGGTAACTCCTCTCCCTGCATCCTAAGGGTGGGGCCTTGCCCATACTGATCATTATGGTAGGACTTAGAACCTAGCACAGTGCCTATCGCTTAGCTGGTGTTCACTAAGCATATTAGAAAGATGATTTATTGAAATGAGTCTATTATTTAAATCAAAAAACATTTGTTAATTGCTGTGATATCCTAACCATAGTGTGAGGTCTCGCTCCCTGCCCTCAAGGGATACACCCAGTATTTGGGGAGAGAAACATCAGATTATTGAAAGGAAAGTATGATAAATACTGTAACAGAGAGGTGAATAGATTGCTATGAAAATGCTAGAAAGAGATACTTGCTCAGGACGAGGGGAAGGCTTCATGGAGAGCATGGCATTTGAGCTAGGAAGGCTATTTAAGGCATGGTCTGGAGAGACTTTCCTGTTCAGGATGTGATGAGAATGTCACAGTGGCTAGAGACAAAACACATGGACAGAAGAGGCTGGGGACACGTGCAATTTGCAAGGCTAGGCTAAACATTTTTATTAGAGCCTGGAGTGTCTGGCAGGCAGCAGGGGCACACCCTCTGCTTGCCATCAGAGCTATCTTCTTAAAAATATGTTTTATGATGTTAATACCCTTCTCAAAGCCAAAAAGCCACTCAACCATCACAAAGTATTATGTAATATGGGTTTCTACATGCTGATGAGGTCTCTAGATAGGCATGAACATGAATGTCCCATTGTGGAAGCACACGTCCACATAGGTCATTGAACTTTCATGGCCTCCTGGTATCCCTGCCCTGGTAAAACCCTCACTTTCACTAAATTAGTGTACGTCTGTGTAACCAACGGAACACAGAGGGAATGATGGTATGCCACTTCTAAGGCGAGGTCATAAAATATATTGGGGCATCTCTCTTGTTCTCTCTTGGTTTATTTGCTCTGTGGAAAGCCAATTATTGTGTCTTAAGGACACTCAAGTAGCCTATGGATTGCCCCATGTGGCAAGGAACTGAGGCCTCCTGGGAACAGCTATATGAGTGAACCATCTTGGAGGCAGACTCTCCAGCCCTGCGCAAGCCTTCTGACGGCTGCAGCCCCAGCAGGAATCCTGACTCCAGCCTCCTGAGCCACCAGCTAAGCCACTCCCAAATACCAGACCTATCAAAATTTTTAGATAATAAATGTTTGTTGTTTAAAGCCACTACATTTTAGGATAATTTGTTAGGCGACAATTGATAATTCATACATCATTGATCATATAAAGTCAGGGTTAAAAGGAACTCCAGAGATTAAGTAGGGCAGGCATTGGTAACTGGGTTCAACATTTCTCATTGAAGCTTGAAGAGATTTGATCAGAGTTGGCACACATTTGAGACCTCTTTATGGTCCCCGATTCCAAGAGCTGTAGGGCTTGGTCCAAGCTTTCATGACTAATTAAATGTTAAGAACTTCATTTCCTGATTGCAAGTCCAGGTCTCTTGCCACTATATTATGGTATAATTCATAAAAATGACTCAATTTAACCTTTTTTTGTTTATAGGAGATAACTACCCCCTTGCAGCAGATCAGTCACTCAGTTTGTTCAGCATTTCCTCATCTGGGAAGAAGATACTGTATAGTGTTTAAGAGAGTTGAATACAGTTTGAATGTTCATTATGGTGGGCTGGATAGCAGCCCCCAGAGATATCCAGGTCCTAATCCCTGGAATCTACGCATGCTACCCCTGTATGGTAAAAGAGATTTTGCAGATGTAATTAAATTGAGGGTCTTGAGATGGAGAGATTATCCTGGAATATCTGGGTAGAATATACTCTAAATGTAATCACAAATGTTCTCGTAAGAGGGAAGCAGAAAGCAATTTGATAAAGAAAGGGAGACGGTAGTGTGATGCAGGGTGAGGAGAAAAAAGATGATGTGATGCAGGGCCATGAGCCAAGGAATGAGAACAGCATCCATCCTGGAAAAGACCAAGAAACAGATTCTCCCCTAGAGCCTCCAGAAGGGGCCAGCCCAGTTGACCCTTTGCTTTTAGCCCACTGAGACTGATTTCAGATTTCTGACCTCCAGAACTGTAAAAGAATCAATTTGTGTACTAATACACAGAATATTTGTTCCAACATATTCTAGTCCTGTTAGTTTGTGTAAGACAACCTTTCCAAAACTCTCTTTTGTCCTCTGTAAAATGGGAACAATAAAATGTCTATCTCACAGAGTTGCTGTTAGGTTGAATAGAATCATTCATGTAAAATGCTCTGGATAGGACTTGGCACATGGAATGTTCTTTATAAAGTTGGCTGCTGATTTGGTCTAGACAGGAAGATTGCAACATTTTTTGCCTTCTTTTGAAAATTCAAATAGAGTACTAAGTATCTCTTGGAATATATAAAGGGTTGAATATTTATTAACTGTTCTATCGTTCTATCGTTACCATCCTATCAGGCACCCTGACCCTATTTGCTTCATCCTCTCTGATTGTCTTTTCTCAAGATTTGCCTGCAGGATGCAGAAAAGGCCAATGGATGGGATGATTGGAAAATAACTCATGGATGAGAAAACTAAAGAGGATTCTGAAAGGATCTCTTTGCCTATTATCTGCTTTCAGAGAAAGTCACACAAAACTGTTGAAAAGTTATCCTATTCGTAAAGATCTCTAGAGAGGGAGTGCCTACAAACGTTTCTAGTAATTTCCCTTGGTGCATACGAAGACTGCTCTTGATGTTCAAAGAAGACTTCACTGATGGCTATGATTCTTCTGTATAAAAAAAATAGAATGGTTTTATTTTTGAAAGCTGCTTGATACCCAATGCTGCCTGAAAGAGTCTATCACGAAAGTGGCCATGTGTTAGTTAACTTCTCTAGTTCAGCTTCGGACCACTGAAGGTAAGAAGCAGCAAAATCATGCAAACCTTTTCTTTTCCTTATCCTGGATTCAATTTCAAAATTTCACTAATTAGAAAGAAAAATATAATAAATATATTTACTTATATTATTCCTACAACTCTATTTTCTGTAGATGCTGGTATTTGCTCTTTTCTACAGCTTTGGCATTTGTATTCTGTTGTTTATATGTACTGATTATCTTTGCATAGATGAAGTGCTCTGTGGTTTCTGTCATGAGACCTCATGGACAAGAGCAGTTCCTGTACCATTCTGTCCTGTCGTGCTTGGTGGAACTTCTTGGGCCCCGTGATAGTTTTATGATGATAGAAATGACACTATAGGATGAAGCCAAAGGAACATTTTTAAAATAGGCTCTGATGCTATTGGGTCTTCAGTGGGTATCTCTCCCTTTACAGAGTAAAGAACTGAGGGATAACTGCTGTATCATCATGACAAACAACTGTGGCCAAATAGCCGAGACCAGTGATTTTCTAAAGCCCTGCAAAATCCTGGGCCCGTTAGTTAGAGAGGGCTGTGGAAACAAATGAATCTGGTTCACTGACTTGGCCTGTAATACCACACTGAGGTTTACCGGAAGGACAAAAGACCAAGTTCCCTTCTATCTCTGAACATGTCTCAACCCCAGACATCGTCCATTTCCATCACTGAATCCCACGCTTGCCCACCACCATGGTCAGCAGTTCCTTAGAGGAGGGTACATTTTTTCCTAATTTAGCCTGGATGGGCTGATAATTGTTGAGCTAACAAGGTGTGGCTCCTCGTACAGGAACAAAGTCAGTCTGAAGTCAGCTGACTAGAATGTCTTTCCCTCCAATGCAGACCCAACTACATAAATCGGAAATGGAGGCAGACATCTCTTAGTTGAAGTGGCCTTATTTAGCCAACAGAGATTGACAGTTGAGGGAGAGCTCACCTCCACCGTAGTTTACTGCCTCACAAGTGCCATCTGATGGTAGCAGTTGAACAGAACGTTAGTAGGTCTTTGGTGACAGCTTTGAGAGCCCCTGAATAGAAGCCAGGCACGCAAGCTGGTGCAGTCACTCTGGAAAACAGTGTGGAGGTTCCTCAAAAAGCTGAAAATAGAGCTACCCTACGACCCAGCAATTGCACTACTGGGTATTTACCCCAAAGATACAAATGTAGGGATCTGAAGGGGTACGTGCACCCCGATGTTTATAGCAGCAATGTCCACAATAGCCAAACTGTGGAAAGAGCCAAGATGTCCATCGACAGATGAATGGATAAAGAAGATGTGGTGTATATGTACAATGGAATATTATGCAGCCATCAAAAGGAATGAGATCTTGCCATTTGCAATGACGTGGATGGAACTGGAGGGTATTATGCTGAGTGAAATAAGTCAAACAGAGAAAGACATGTATCATATGACCTCACTGATATGAGGAATTCTTAATCTCAGGAAACAAACTGAGGGTTGCTGGAGTGGGGGGGGTGGAAGGGATGGGGTGACTGGTGATAGACACTGGGGAGGGTATGTGCTCTGGTAAGCGCTGTGAATTGTGCAAGACGGTTGAATCTCAGATCTGTACCTCTGAAACAAATAATGCAATATATGTTAAGAAAAAAAAAAAAAGAAGATAGCAGGAGGGGAAGAATGAAGGGGGGGAAATCGGAGGGGGAGACGAACCATGAGAGACGATGGACTCTGAGAAACAAACTGAGGGTTCTATAGGGGAGGGGGGTGGGGGGATGGGTTAGCCTGGTGACGGGTATTAAAGAGGGCACGTATTGAATGGAGCACTGGGTGTTATACGCAAACAATGAATCATGGAACACTACATCAAAAACTAATGATGTAATGTATGGTGATTAACATAACATAATAAAATAAAAAAAATAAAATTAAAAAAAAAGTTAAAAAAAAAAGAAGCCAAGCACAAATTACTTTTTCTAATTTCAGTGCTCTGGTTGTCCAAGGTAGGTAAGAATAAACAAAAGCACATCTAGAAGGTGATGCTTGACCTCTCTCGAGATAAGAAGCTCACACCAGCTTTTTGCTTTTGTGGGGAATCAAAATTTAACATTATCATCTAAAGTCCTCCCAGCTTTATAGAACTCAGTTCACAGGTTCTAGGAAAGAAGATGAAACTTTCATTTATCTTTACGCTACATGTGGAGAGATACTGTGCATAACTGCTTCAACCAAAAGCTCGTAGATTTTGATGCATTTTATCTGTTTATAGGAGATCAACTCCCACCGTAAACACTGAATTCTGTTTATAACAGAAGGGCAGTATCTGCGGGTAGCCTAAGCAGAGTGCTCCAGCCTCGTTTTTTCCCGTTTTTGCAGAGACGCTGGAGGAATGTGCCTTTGCACCCGCTCACTAGCATCCCTAAATCATGATTAATTTAAAGCCCTTTCTCTCCTTGGTTACGCCTGATACAGGCAACTGCTTTGCTGTCACATTGACTTTTCTGTCTTTGCAGATTCAAAGCCAGCGTTGAGTCCTCCTAGCAGGGTGAGTTCTCTGACAAGGAAGTTTTGCAACCGAATTTACAGCTGGAGTCAAACTTGTCAGGGAGGCCCAGAGGGAAACTGTCGCAATCCACTGGTTAAGTATGCATTTAATAGTGTTTATCCAAGCAAGTTTGTGATTTCTTCACTCTCTCCAACAAATACGTTATTTGTAATACCTATCTTCTCTAATCTAGGTGTTTGAAAAATGTCTCTAACGTGTGTGGGCTAGAATACATTTTGTTTTTCTGTGGGTATATTCATGTAACAAGGGCAGTCTTTGAGGAACTATCAAAAACTGCTTGTCATCTTTCCAAATCAACTCTCTCTGCAGTGACCATGACTTAATCCTGAAGGAAAACAAGGTAATCTTTTCAAATAAACATTCTCAAGGATGTTTAGAGGGAACCTCAATTGCTAGTATGCAGAACCCTCCCTGTGACTGAAAATAGTTATATTGAAGGAGTCCAATTACAGTAAGTTGGAGTGTTTGTAAGCATTTGGTATTTCCAGATGATTAATAATAATAAGCTAAATTGCAAGCAAAGTGTGTGTGTGTGTTCATGTGTTCGAGGAGTCGAGTTCGAAGAGTCTCTTAGGATCTTGTTCCTCAATGCTGTTGGTGGAAAATGAGGCACAGAGTGGTTAACCACTTTCAGTGGTAAGGGAGTTGGTGAAGAACATTGGCAATTTGGAACCTAGGCCCATTAACTTCCACGGGGCTAACCTGCTTCTGGTAAGAGTAACTAAGAGAAGAAGAAACATTTGATCATGAAGTAAAAAGGGAGCCCTGAAACCAAAGAAATTGGTTGTATGCAACTTATTAGTGTACAGTTCCTAGCCTCAAGGAACTTGGCATGCAATAAAAGGAGAAAATGTAGAGTATGGATTGAATACACAAAACTTACTTGGATGATAGAATTAATTAAATCAATACAGACCATGGACACTGGAGTTTATCGTATTACTGATGTTATTTTGTATTACAATTCTTTTTTCCCCAGTCTCTTCTATTCTGGTCTCTGGGCTCTTGCAGGACAGACCTCTTTTCTTATTTGGGTCTGAAGTCCCTGGACTTAAGGCTGATCCCAGCACAGATGAGGACAGGAGGGGGTGAATGAATAAATTTGGTCTTGACTTCGGTATTTTTTTCTTCTATTGTTTGTGGGCCTGATGTTCTCTAATTTATTATTTGTTGTTTAAGATGCCATACATTCAGGGGCACCCAGGTGGCTCAGTTGGTTAGGCGGCCGACTCTTGATTTCATCTTCAGGTCATGATCTCAGGGTCCTGGGATCGAGCCCCGTGTTGGGCTCTGTGCTCAGTGGGGAGTCTGCTTGAGATTCTCTTTCTCCCTCTCCCTCTGCCCCCCCCATTTGTGCACGTTCTCTCTCTCTCTCAAATAAATGAATCAATCTTAAAAAAAAAGATGCCATACATTCAAAGCATCTTTTTAGGTATGTCACCATTTATATGGGACATTAATATATTATTACCTTGTTAAAAAACTTATAGCAGTGCCAGGCAACAGAAATACAATGTGAGCCACATGCGTAATTTTAAATTTTCTGATAGCCACATTAAAAAAGTAAAAAAAAAAAAAAAATTTATTTAACTCAACATATCTAGAGCATTGCCATTTCAACAAGTAAATTAATATTATTAATGAACAAAATTACTAATAAGATACCTTGCATTCTTTCTCTCATACTAAGTTTTTAAAATCCAGTGTGCATTTTATACTTAATGGGCATCTAAGTTCAGACCTACTTTCCACTACAATGTAGACTACCACATTTCAAGTGATCAATGGGTACATGTAGGTGCTGTATTGTTCAGCATGGCTCTAGAGTTCATATGTAGGCATAGGGAAAGTTTCCCCTGCTTAACACTCAACCCCGCTATTATGCACACTCTCAATGCCCGTAGTTCAGAAATAATCCCATCCTTAGTGCTCCATGAAAAGGATGGAGACCAACCATCTGGATTTGCCCAAGGATTTTCTGGGACACAGTACTTAGTCTCAAGCAAAACAGAATGGCTGGTCATCCCACATGTAAACCATACCTGTCCAATCAACACCTCTTATCCTCTTGGCCACATTGATTGGATCAGTCTTAGAACACATAAACCTGTTGCCAGTCATGGGATTGTGTGGGAACCACTGGGAAAAAGAACCTCATTTTCTGCTGTAGTTATCTCGAACTTTAGCTCACCTTCTTTACATCATGAGGAGAGAGCCTTGTTGACAGTAATTCCCACTCCGGAGAAAACCAGAGGTAGAGAAAAACTGAGTCTTGATGACTTTTTCTTTTTTTTAGTTCCTGGATCCAGCCTTGCATGAAGCTTTTCTGCCCTTGAACTTTTCAGTAAGCCAATAAATTCTTTACATCAGCCTTTGTTTACTTTCTTGTTTGTTTAAACCATTCAGGTTAGATTTCCATCACTTGAAACTAGAACAGTCTTAGTTAATAAAATAGGTTAAAAAAAATAAAGGAATGCAAGAAATCTACTTGGAATTCTCCAGGTTCATAAGAAATGTAATCAGAGACTGTCTATTTTTCTTTTACATAGCCTTCTTGAGCTACTATGGGATGTGTATGTGCATGCACATGCATATGAATATGTATGACTGTGCGTGTGTGTGTGTGTGCATGAGTGAGTGTGTATGTGTTCTCTCTTAGGCAGCCTAAGAACATGGGGTCTGTTTGTGACAAAGGGGTTGAAGGCAGTGAAATAGCTACATGCTGGCAATAACCTATGAATTAGTGGGGATATTTTAAAGTAGGAGGCAATGGAGACCTGCTGTTCGTTTTTGTTTTTGTTTTCTTCCTCTTCTGTCTCTTTCTCTCTTGCTCTCAGACCTTTGCACTTTGCTCATGTTGTGGGTGCTTTGCTCCATTGTAATGACTTTCATGATGGATCAAAGTCTCATTCTAGGTATTGGAAGAATCTAAACCTCATGAGATTTTCAGTGTGTGGGCTAGGGTCCCTTGGGAGATTGTAGAGTTGTGAAATCGGGCATCTGAAAATCCATCCATCCATTTATCTCTTCTTAATCAATGAATGCTAAAAGTGAAACCGTTAGCATGTGGAAAGATTATAACACTTTTTGACAGCTCCAGGAGAAGAGTGAGTAGGTATTCAATAGATGTCATTGAGCTACTAATATGTAACTTGACAAGGTTAGATGCCCTATGTGAAGCATTTAACATATGTTATAGCATAATATTTAGACTTCATTATTATCCTTGTTGTTTTAAAATAGGAATATATATATTCTTTATTCATTATTCATTTAACAAATTTATTTTTTAAACTATTATGTTCTTGATGAATTTAACATCTAGTGGAGAAAATAGGCTTACAAACACACGACTACAAAACCATGTGTGAGTATGTAAAGAACTGAGAAACACCACTGCAGAGGGGAGGAAGAACAGCACCTGAGGGCAGAGGTAGGGATGGGTGGGGAAGGGGCTTCGAGACAATCAGAGACGCTCCCCGCAGCATGGTGCCTGATGCCTGACACAATGAAGTGTATCTTGCAAATTTCTTTACCTATTTCAGGTGAGAGTTCCATTATTTTACAATGACAAATTTACTTTGTTTTTCTGCCTCATAGGGACATAAGTGACAGAACCTTGAATTGTGAAGAAGAGTTGGGTTCTATTTTTTTTTTTATGTGATACTGGATAATTTTATTATTATTATTATGTTCAATTAGCCAGCATATAGTACATCATTAGTTTTTGATATAGTGTTCAACGATTCATTAGTTGCGTTTAACACCCCGTGCTCATCACCACATGTGCCCTCTTAACTGGATTTCCTGGATTTGCTACTGATAATGCCTGTGGGCAAAATCAAGATCTTAAGTGTTTGGGGCTGGAGTTTCCTCACCTGTGAAGTAAGGCAGATCCACCAATTCATCCAGAATAGTATCCTTTTCCAAGTTCAGACATTACAAAGCCTTCCAATAGTGTCCTCTGTTTCTACCTTTACCATCCTTCTGTTAAGAGTAATTACCTGGAAACCACAGCCCAGAAGCAAGGCATTGCAACTAGGCATCAAAGGAACTCATTTTACAAGGGAAAAATTTCATCTCATTTTATTTTTACCAAAGTCAAAAGATCATCCCATCACAGCTACAGGATTTCTTCACTTAAATATAGCCTAGGACAGACTAGTGAAGATTTGGCAAATCAGGTTAATGATGGCAGAAAGAGTCTCACCAAATACCTCAATCTAGCATTCCTGGATTCACAAATGAAGAACAATGAGTTTCATCCAATATTTAATAAATATCCCGAAATTTTCCTATCTAGAAACAAAACAAAACAAAACAAAACAAAATAAAAACATTTTTGTATGGACATAATTTGGAAGCATATCAAATTCTTAATTTTAGAATTTAGATTTTTCAAGAAATCAGCCTTCTCGTTGTGTTTAGTTTTCTTGTGCCTGGGAATGCATTTGTGCTGTAGTTATGAAGCCAAGTAGAGAGAGAAAGGGAGAGAGAGACAGAGGTGGGAGGAGGCTGTCTGTTACGTTGTGTTCCCCAGAGTTTAGTGTAGGTCTGCAGCTTAAAGATCAAAATCTTTTTTAAGATTATATGAGAAAATGAGAGTCTAGACAGGGAATAACTATTTATTGACCATATTGGTGCACTTAGCCTCTGACATTGGATTGTTTAGTTTCAAAACACTTTTTAATATTTATTTCATTTTTTTGATGCTGATGAAAATATCTCATGTTTTATGAACATATGTGGCAGTTAATACACATTGTATCTTAATAAACAAAGTAATATACATTCACCTTAAAATCCACGGAAGACTCTATCTGGCTTTTACGAAATGAATGTTTTTCCTTACTGCAGGTTGAAATTGATATTTTACTTCCCTGTAGCTCAGCATGTGATAGTTGTGACGACATGGTAACTCAACAGAAGGGTCATCTACTGGCTCTTACGATTCTCTTCCACATTTAACAGTGTCTTAA